GTATTAATTTATCTCTAAACCCAGCATTTTAAATTCTCAGGAACGATCATTGCGGGAAAATTGTGGGCCGGGACTACGATTTTTGAACGATCGATGCGATAAAACGATAGTTCGAGGAACGATAGAAGCGGGAAAATGTAACATTATTTTATATGGGATGTATTCGGGACCGAACAAAACGGACGATGCATCCGGGAAAACGATAGTTCCGGGAACGATAGATAGAGGTTTCACTGTAATAATTTACTGGACCCTTAAAACAATTACTGTTGGTATGTTGTGTTACACGAACTGGTACTTGTGTGGAATTATTCTTGATAGAACAAAAAATATGCAGTATATCACCAAATATTCACACTGTTGCAGCAGTAGTAGTGAGTGAGAAAGTGAGTATCATGGTTCATCAAATGTAATTCTGTGTTATTTGCTTACATATTGTGTGATCTGCACAACCTTGCAGGCTTTCAAGGTAAATTGATGAGGCACTTTACTGTCTCAGAAACATGACAGGTCTGACATGGAAGTTTAAATATCTGAAATTAAAGAACTTTCCCGTAGATTTTATTATCAGTATTTTATTTGCTTGGTTTTTCCTGTGTTTTATGAAAACATGGTTTGTAACAAAATTTAATGAATATATTATACCAATAAACCCCTCCCCAGTAGGATGTAGCCAGTTTTATGGAGAACTTTTTTTACTGTTTTGGAGGCCAAGTAGACAGTGATACTTTCAATGATGGGACATTTTAATAATTTGTTGTATAAACCACATACCAAAATTTTATTACAGAATTTGTGTAAAAAAGAAAATGTGTTTGAAATATTATAATAAGATAAATTACACAAACAAACTGTGAATCCAACAAGATTTATTAAAATTTTACATGTACATAATTTCTAGTTCCTGTTATAAATCAAGCATTTAAAGCATATTTAAATGGTTTTACTACTTTTCATTTCCTTATATGTTTGTCATTGTAGGTGTTTGTTTGTGGAGATGAGAGTCAATGCATGAGATTACTGGGAACAATAATTCAGCAGCCACATCTAGGTGGCATTTTGGGCCCGCACTTTACCCCTTCTGTTGCTAGCACACCAACATTCCTGCAGATGTACAAGACTGTAGTGGAAACAGTATATCAGCAGCCTGCAGAACTCAGCTTTGTCCTTTTATCGAAGGTGCGTATGTTGGCGAATGATGCATACAATAAAGAGAAGGCCTGGTAGAGTTGTTGTCTCCGGTTAAATGGTTACTAGTGCGTAAGGGGATTGTGGCAGTGCTGGTTCTCTGGGATAGAGATTAAAAATAACAACTTGCTTCTTTTTATTGAAGTATGAGGTCAAAAATGTGTCAATCTGCATATCTTTGTCTCCTGTTTATGTTGCTTATAAACACTAATAATGTCATAATTTTATCTTGTTAAACTTTGTATACTCTAATTTACCAGAGGCCAGTAATTTGTATGCTCTTCAATTTTTTTTGTATGAAGGGTTTACTGTGCTTGAAACATGTTAGTGATTTAGTATATATATGACTTTCTGTTTCTTAGTTTGATGTTGCACAGTGGCTTTTGACTCGGAAACCTAGACTCAGTGAGCGATCACAGTTTATTGAACTTGTGGGGAAGGCACTTACCACAGCTGGCCTGAACCCAGATGATGAGAAGCTCATATTGCATGAGGTAAGCGGCAAGTGAAGTCACTGAGTTGTTTACATTGCATATGTGCCATAACTTGATATGGCAACTCCTTGTGTTCTTGTACTAAGTCTGATGGATGGGCATGATCAAACACCAGGCAGCTACCCCATGATTTCAGTTCACTGATTTTTTCAGGCAGTCTTTTACTTGTTGCTTCTAATTGGTGCCAACAAAATATTTATCATGAGCTGAAAATGTCTTTGTTCTGTCACTGTATTATCTAGTAAGTCATGGAAGATTATGTTTGTTACTCGGGAGAAAAGTTTTGACCTTGGCATTGCAGGCATATGTAGGGAGAAAATATGGAGCTTGCAAAAATATAAGGCTTTAACTTTGCATAATATCTCTCTCTGTTGTTTCATCTGATCTGTTTCGCTGTTGCAACTGGCACATTATAACAGTTTGCTGTTTTTTTATCTGCATGTCAAATAGGCGAAGTCAGACTCTTCTCCACTGTTTCTTGTTAACACTATTGATTCACATGATTTATTATCTCCCTAGCTTTATCATGGATGATTTCACCTTTCTTTGGACTGTTGGCCATTTATGAAGTGTTCAGTTTATACTACAAACAAATATAAAACAGAAAATTAATTTGAATTAACTGTAGATATCTGTCTTCTGGGTTGTTGCACTGTGTAATCTGGCAGAAGTTTACCAACGTTTCAGAGGTCCTTGCTGCCAAATTTGCATATCCATCCATAATCATGCTCCATCATCAGGGCGATTGCAATTGCTGTGATGATGGAGGCAGCAAGGATCTCTGAAATGTCGGTAAAATTCTACCAGATTACACAGCGCAACAACCCAGAAGACAGCCATCTTCAGACTCAGTGCCGTGAAAACCCGAAATCCTGTTTGGATTAACTTGCATATAGAAACTTGACCGGATTATGCCGGTGATTTTTTTTCCCCCAACTGGAATACATTGATTTCTAGCCACAGATTTACTGCAGTTGGACTCTGCGTGGGTCTGCACTGCTAAGATCTAAGATTTTTTCCTGAGTAATGAATAGTAGTTCTGAAGTATTAATATTTTAGGTAAGAACCTCACTAAATTCATTGAAAGGTGAAGAATATTTGGGAAGATGGTATTTCACAGTGCACAAGACAGATTAGACTTATTTGGTCTGACAAATGTGCATTATTAGTGCTTATACACCCAAATGTAACTGTACGCATATCACTGGGTTTAGCAACATCAGCATTATGCCTTTCTGGCATGACATACAGCCCATTATTTTATGTTGCTAGACCAAGTATCTGTCATTATGCAAATATGTCAATATGCCCTTCTGGCACGATGTCCTCGATATTAATACAAGGTTAAACTTTTTTCTTAGGTGTTCTGCAGACATATCCGCCAATTGCTGCTTCATGACTTTCCTGAACATTATGGCGAGGTGCTTAACTTGGTACTGCGAGGTAGTGAAACCCAGAATTTGTCTGTAGATGTGTGGTTTGACATCCTTAATGCCCTCATGTCAGGGGAGTGTGGGAATGTGGCTCCACCAAGAAGGCTGAGATCGGGACAGAACCTAGGCAAGGTGAAAGAGGAGGCTCGGAATTATGCCACTGAACAGAAGATGCTCACATATCAGGAGGTGAGGAAGTAAAACCAGCTGACTAACTGCAGAGTCCTTAAGAAGCTGATGATACCCATCCAGCAAATCAAATTCCTCATATTTAATGGAACCTGGTTCATCATTTTTATAGGATCCTACCAATGGCCACCATCCTGAGCCAGATGAATCCAGGCCACATTCTCCCACTATTTTTCTCACATCCATTTAAATATTATCCTTCCATCTACATCTAGATCTTCCAAGTGAACTGTTCCCTTCATATTTAGGAAAGGTTGCAGTATGGTTTTTGGCATAGAGAAACAGTACAAAATATTTCAGTAATAGTAAACATACAGTAATTGTTTCACAGAAGAATAGATGAATGAAACTTCATGAAATAAAAAGAAGTAAAATTACTTTCTTTAGAAGGTTGCATCATTGTCAGTGTTTCAGCAATACTACTCAGATGAGTATTTGTTTATGTTGTTTATTTAGTGACACTTTTTAGTAGCATAAAATGAAAGGATGATTATGAATAATGAATTGGCGAGGGTGTGGAAGGAAGCAGTTATGGCCTAATTTTAGGTATTATCTCAGCAGTTGCCTGGAGGGACTGAGGAAAACTATGTAGAACATCAGTCAGGATAGCCAGTCCCTGGGCTGTGATTTGAACCTGGGACCTCCCAAATACAAAGTAGGGGTGATAACCACTCAACCATAACATTTTGATGAGTAGTAGCAGAAGCTGGTGTTGCGTCTTCATCTTTCAGTTTCTTTTTTGCTTTCTCATTTTAAAGGTCTTCATGTTCAGGTACAGTGTGACCACTTCACTTGAAATAATACTTTCCTCAGGACCAGCATACGGTGCGATGTGTGCAATGTGATTGGTTGTTGTGGAATCGTTAAAGCCAGTGTGTTTTGAACATGAACATTTTGAAAATCTGACTGGTACTTGAGGGGTGGGTAATTGATAAACTTTGGTGCGGCTTATAAATGCCAGCTTCTATACACAGTCATATATCTGCATAAATATGGTAGTGAAGTGTGGAGAAACAATTGTAAATGTTACATGTATTTGATTCAAACATATGATTTTTAGCTTTGTGATGTTCTCATCAGTTGTGAGTCTGTTGAATTTTAATGAAAATTATCTGGATCAGAAATATTTTAAATGGTAAAATGTTAGGCTTTTCACTGCAACATTAGTAAGTTCTGTGATGGCTGTCCCAGTGATGTATTACTTTTAGTAATTTCTTCACATTTAATCAATTTAGATTCACTTGTATATTTAAGTTCACTATCATTGTCCATAAAATTGACATCTGACTTTGTTTCCATAAAAGAGACTATAAAATATCTTCACGTATATGAACTACATAGATCATTACTGCTGTGATGTGAGCAATAGGTTGGGAGTTGGTGGTTACAGTTGCTCATTTTTATACTATCTTGTGGCCAGAATGTGAACTACCATAGCTCAGACTATAAATATTGGGGATAAGTTTTGAAATGTACAGAGTATCTATAACCTGCACAGTAAGACTGCAAATTTGTAACTTAGTGTTCTTCATCAAAAGGGCGAAACAGTTGGATGGAATCAAATACTCTCAGTGACTGCCTCAGCTTGCAGACCAAGCTGTCATAACAGAACTTGTAATATCGTTTATGTAGCAGAAGAATTGAACCTTATGACTAGTGTTAAGCACTGTGTTTGTAGGTTGACTCTACCACTATAATTAAAATTCTGAAGTTAATAGGCACAGTTGATCTAAAGCAAAGTTAGAGAAGGTGATTGGAAGAGGTGTAGAGTAAGAACCCTCATGTAATAATTCATATTCCTGGACCTCATTATCTTCACAGGTTATAACATATGTAACAGTATTGAATGTTGAAATTTGTGGTTTTTACAGCTGTGAAATTGTAGATTGTGATCTTTGGGTTGTGATGCCATGCAGTTTTACAAATGGTTACTACGCTGAAGATGGAGATGATGTGCTCCTGAAAAATATTAGTAACCACCTAAAAGACTGCATAGCAACATGACCAATCTATAATTGAATGTTGTGGGAACTTGGGATTTGTTTTGTTTTTGGAGAGGTATATTTTATAGAGGTTATACTAAATATCTGTTGAACACATCCTTGATAGATGAAAGAATGATAAAATGTATGAAAGACACAAGATACAAATTACTGTTTATGGAAGTAATGCTAGATAACATAAAAGTTAAAGTTTACTGTTTGAATGAAACTATGACAGTCATATCAGCAAGAAAGTTTTAATATTTATGTGTGTTTCTGTTGTCTATAAAAATATTTAATGTGATGACCGTAACTGTTTTCTTGCATTCCATCTTGTGTGCAGTTACGTGAAACAGCATCCCTCATGGGTGGCCACTTCATGAAGGAACGGCTGCAGTATGGATTATACGGACTGTACCCAAAATACAGGGTGTATGTAGAGCCACTTACAGCATTTCTGGGTATGGTTGGTCATGGACTAGTGGTTAGCACTCTACAGCATGACCATGGAACTCTTTCCAACAAGTGTGAGTTACATGCTCTTGATGGCATTTGCTTCTAGTTAGATCACTGTTAATATATGCTCCCATCACTGAATGCTTCTGGTATACTTCCGTAAAGAAGGAATGAATAATGTTCAAATAAATATTCACCTGATGGTTGTGAGATTTTATGTGTAGGGGTTTATTACTCCCAGATAATGCATGGTAGTTAATGACCATAGTTGCTTCCATACTTGACTACTTACTAACATGTAATAGTGTCTTTGTCTGTGTGGATCATTTTCTTCTGGGTTGTGATGCTTTGTAGTCTTCTTGAAGGTGGATATCAATGCTTTAGAGGAACGTACCACTTCCATCTTCAAAGTAGAAGTGACCTTCTTTATGGGTTTTTTTTTCTCCCAGTATATTAGCATCAACATAGACCAGAAGTTGATGTGTCGTGTTCAGTTCCAGCCTCTCTTTGTGTTCTTGGACCTTTCTGATTGTATATTCTGAAGCAAAGTTAAAAATCAATGGCAGTAACACATCTCTTTGTTTCAGATCATTCTGAATAGGAGGTGCATAAGACAAATGTTAACCGAAATGGACTTTCCTATAGGTTGCATTTAAACGTATTGTAATTAACCCAACTTCCCATGTCATAGATTTACGGCATGTAAAAGAACAGTCAGTGTATGAAACTGATAACTCATTTCCATCAATTTCCAATTAAGCTTACATCCCTTGTACATCATCATCATCATCAGAGGTTTGTTCATAGGAGAACTGGAAAGAAATGAAAATTTAATTAATTCTGAGTTTGTTTTATCTACGTTCCAGTGTCCCATTTCTTTGCTTGTGAATTGTAAGATTCATATATAATACATTGGTTGCATATGAAAGTGTGCTATATTGTAGTGTGTGAGCAACTGTGGCCAGCTCTTAGTGAAATGTTCTCCCCATGGCTGGCTCCTTACTGGACTAGGAATCTGAAGGAACCAACAGCAGCATGGATACAACAGTTAACAGATGACCGTTCAGTCCTCCTCCCTTGGATAGCCACAGATGGCCCTCACGCTCATCGTGTGGTGTCTATGTTCACGGAGTGTGTTCGGTTCATTCTCGACACGTTGCCAGGTAAGTACCTTTTCAGAGTAAAATGACACCTAACTCTTCCTTACTGGAAAATGGATATATCTTACAAAATATTCTAATAAACAGATTTCTCTGTTGTAAGAAGTTGTAAGCCATAGCAGATAATGCTAGTGTTCATAGGAAGTATTTGTAGTACCACAGATTTTAACAGATGGCTGGATTTTTGTATTATGAGATTGCAAGAATCCCATCACTGTGTGTGTGTGTGTGCACGTGTGCACGCGCTTGCAATACATGCAGTAAAATATTATTTTTACACCCATATAACCATATAAGTGCTTTAAACTGTACTATGCAGCCAAAGGCTTCTGAAGAACTTCTGAAAAGATGCATTTTTTAATATGTAGTAGAGGTAATGCTGGGTAGTGGCATATGGTGTGCCCTTCAGTCTTTTCACCGTAATCAAATGATCAGAATTCACTTATGAAGTTTAATTACAATTTTAAAACTTTTCTATAAATGTGAAATGAAGTAATTGTGCTGACTTGTAAGTAAGCAGTGATAAATTTATGTGCAAAAAAATTAATGTAATGAGTGCAATCACTATGTCACCATGGCATGGCATGGCATGTCCTCTGGTTGTGGATGGAGTAAAACCTTGCAGATATTTAGAGTAGCTGCGAATATAGTTAATAAGCAGTCTCTGGCAGCCAACAATGGGTGGTCCTCCAGCTTGGAGGTTGGGTTATGGGCTAACTAACATCTCCTTGCCATAAAATCAAGCTTGCCACAAAATGTTACAGACGGCCTCAGATTAGGGATGTTGACGGCTTTTCTGAACATGGTAATGAACCTTTGGAGGTCTGTAAAGAGTGAGAAATTTCTTGACCAACTGAGGTGACTGTAAGCTGCTTGAGGACTCTGTTGCATGCAGTATGTTAGCTATGGGTGTACTGAGATGTGTCGTTTTTGCGCTGAACTATTACATTAACATTTTTGCATCATGCTACAACAGGGGTTTTTTTTGTGCTGGTGGTAGACCACCTGCAATGTGAAACTCATCTGTTGACTTACCTTCTAGTTTTGATACTTTTGAACAGTCTTATGTTTTATAATATTAATTTCTACAAAAAATATTCCACTTATAGACAAAAAAAAAAATGATGGCTGTCTTTTGGGTTGTAGTGCCATGTAGTCTGATAGTCCTTGTACTCACTGCAGTGCGAACCTTTAGTCATACTGAAAGAAGAAAATTTGCATGGGAAGAGTTAATTACTGTCACTATTTGAGTGAACACTGTGTAAACATCATGACATTTCAGAGATGGGAATCTATCTCTGTCAGGCCCAATCGATAGAGCAAATCCCTATCTCTGGGCCCAACAGAGTAGGTTTTACCTGAAGACGGAGGTAGACTCCCATCTCTGAAGCGTCATGGTTTTTATTTAATCTTGGACAATGGAAACAATTTGCTTCAACAATGTACCATCATCACAAACTTTCAGACTTGAGCTACTGTGTAAACAACATACTTTAAATTAATATTCCTTGTCCTTGGAGCCCAAAGTATAGTAGATTGTTTCCACCTGTCTCTCTGCCCATATTTTGTCTCCTAATATTCTGAGTGGGTTTGAACAAATTTTGAATTTAGGTTCATGCTCTTAAGTTACTGGTTGAATTTGATTTTCATTCATGTTTGACAATTATATCTCTTTATTAGATCAGGGCATAATTAATTTCTTTATGGTATTTTGTGTTGTATTTATATTATGTGTTGTAGAACTAACTGATGGATGATTTCTGTCTTATTTAGTACAGAGAATATAGTATATTATTTTTATAGGTTTACGTGAAATTTGGTGTGAGAGATTCACACCAATAGTTTTCAGCATATTTACTTTTGGCTCATTTTTGGCATATCTCCTCCTTTGCATTTAACAAATTATTATTCTTATTTATTAATTTATTGAAAGTGTGGATAATTAATTGATCTTTCCAATGAAATTTGTGGAATTATTTAAGGGACAAAATCTACTATATCTTAAATATTTTATAATGCTGGTAATCTGGAAAAATACAAACAAAAAATGCTAGTCAGTATCTAGCAAACTAATTACCAGATACAGGTATTTTTGTGTAATGTTTACTAATAATCTTAAGAACAACTGAGCATTTCCCTTAATTTGATGAATAAATTACTTTTTTCTTTTATCACAGCCTGCAGCAACATCCTGTGTTTTGTTTGGCACTTTTATGTGGCCAATTTTGCTCACTCATCTGTCAAAGACTACATCCTTGGAGTGGTACATGGCAGTCTGCTTGGTCTACCATGGGACCGCTTCTGGCCAAGTATGCAGGATCTCGAATATATGCTAAAGGTACTAGTATATTATATCTTGCATGCATGATATGGATAAAGTCATATAAAGTAATTTACACATGTTCAGTAGTCTTATAATGCAGAGAGTGAAATATTTTACTGTTGTATGTTAAATGTCACCCAGCTAAGTGAATGCTCAAAACATGAATTTATTTGTTGCATAATTTTTCACTATTATTAAATTTGTGTTTTGGTTCATATTAATATTTTTTTCAATAAAACTGATTGCAGTACTAGTATTTTGTATATCAGCTTCATAAACATACTGTGCTGTTATTTAACTCATTTTAGCAATTTTAAGAAATAAATTTTCTTATTCATTTCTTGAATGATCTGCCTTTCTTCAGTGTGCTATAACAGAGGGTCAAAATTAAAATAAAAGCATTTTCTAAATGTTGTAGGAACAACAAGTTCTAACATAGTGTGACACAGTAAATTATTATACAGTGTGTTCTTAATGCAAGGTGGATTTATTTCACGCTAATATGAGTATAACTGATCATTTTCTAACACTTCAGAAATTACATCACTGGTTAACTGAATGTAACAACTCTCTTCTGCACTGTACTATTTCTGTGATTTCTAGACACCAGTCAGTAATACAGCCTGTCTGTCTATTAATTTTTGCCCCATGTGATAATTAAGTCAAAACTGGCTGTACAGTCCACTGTTTTGTGGGATGTAGAGTGTTTTCAAAAAAATTTAAAAATTTGAATTACAAAAATTTTAAATAGTTTTAGAAATTTCGAAGGTTTCAAGCATTTCAAAAATTTAAAAAATGAAAACTTCAATAAATCCAGAAAGTGTTCATAACTGAAAGAATTAAAATTTCTAAAATTAAAAAATGTAAAGAATTAAAAAATAAAAATCAGCATTTGATAATTTTTAATAAATTTAAAGTTTTAAAAAAAATCAATTTTTTAAAAAAAATAAACATTTTATGTTTTTTAAAATGTGTCAAAATTGTCAAAATTTTAAATGTGAACATTTCTTAAAACCGTTTAAATTTTGCAAAAAGGTAACAAATATTTAGAAAAATGTTAAATATTAAAATATTTTCGAAATTTGCAAAAAAAAAATCACTTAACCAAACCTAACCTGACCTAGTCCAATGCAACCCATTCCATTTCAAACAGATGTAACGTATGTGCAATGTGTAAGCTGTGTAAAGTTGCAGTGTACAAAGCTGCGCTGAATCTAAAAGATTCAGGACATATTATTAAAGGTACGATGCCTTGAAAACAGTCCTTTAAGGGCTAACACAGTAATTAACACTTTTTACAAGTCATTGGTATACTTTACAAAAGAAAAAGTTTCTATCAAGTATGTATTTTGCAAATAAAATTGTTTGTTAATGATCAGATTCCATACGGAAACATTAGGTCAAAATGATGATGAACAATAAATCATGGGAAAATAAAATAAATATCTGCCTCCCTTTGGATCTTAAGTCTCAGATGCACCACAGATAATACAGTGATAATGTGAATGATAATACAATTGCTTACTTTTAACAAATAGTTACAGGACTGTGTGTGGTTTACAGACAAATAGCAATTATACATTATTTTCTGAAGGAAAGGTACATGGACAAATACAAGGATATTACATTGACTGGAATTATCATGTCAGTTGTATGCTTTCATCACTTCCAGTTTGGGACATAAAATTTCAGGCGCTTGGTTTAGGTTGCACAGAATGTACTTGTTTATTAGTTTTTCATTATGTCATCAGAGTTCAATTTATAATGTGTTTCAAGTGGTACTGATAACATGCCTTTTACATGAGGGAATGACTGAAGAACAATACGTTAATTTGGTGTGAATAAATGTATTTATTCCAATGAGCAGAAAATTTTCCACAGTTACCCTGATATTTGACACTTGTGGTCATTGCACTATACATCTGTGGAATTTTTAGTAATTGAGTATTCCCTCCAGTTCTGTGCAGAACAATACCACTTCTGACATTTCCAGTCTTTTCCATCAAATGGGACTCATTTTGTGCAACTATGGCACTGGAAGGAGCATGATTATCTTGTGTTGACTGTACTCTGTACCGTTTGTAATTCAGTTCTATTTATCAGTGACACTGAAGAAAGGATGAAACTTTTGTTACTTTGGGGTGAGGGCCCTCCACTTGTAATCACAACCAACACCATCATCATTATATTGACACTGCTAATATTTAATGTGATTCAGGTTGTTGACCAGTATCTACCAGACTGTCATGTGTTTTTGGGTGGAGTGTTCATTGAAGTAAGCTGGCATTCATGGGTGGGGCATGTCCTCACATCGTATCCTTCTCAAGTAGCTTCACGAACACATGTCTGCCTACTGCACCTTTTGGTCAAGCTTGCAAATGAGCCCAATGTAAGACAGGTAAATATGAGCTCATTACACATATTGCCATGTCTGTGGAGTTTGATCTAAATTGCCAAAATACAGAATATGAAAACTTGAAAGTTCATTACAAAAAAGGATATCACGGCCACAGTCCTTACATACGTAGCACTATTAGCACTACTGCTTACTACAACTATTCACTAATGCTACTCTACATGACTATTCCTTAATCCCTAATACTATTTACATAACTCTTTCTTATTGTTCTCGTGCCTTCTATCTCAGTATATTCTTATCTACATAATATAGATATATAACTTAATTCCTTCCAAAAAAATATTTTTAACTTACCACAAATCGTGTGATACTGCTTTAAATCTTGTTAAAATATAGCGGTATCTATAATGTTCAGTAACTCAGAATCTTTGCCGGTTTCCTAGAGTCTGAGAATTAACATTTAACGTCTCCTTAAACAGCATTAACCAATTGATAGTTGTCACGGAGATTCCGCAAACCTTTTTTTTTTGGGGGGGGGGGAGTTTAAAAATTATAAATAAATTGTATTTTTTTCCATTTTTTATATCTTGTACAACAAACTGAAGGTGCTAATTATGCCATCACATATTTTAATGTAATTTTTAATTGTTAAAAATGCAAAGAAATAATAGGAACTGCCTCATTTTAGCAGTGAAATCTCTTAAATTTGGACACGTGTTAGACTGATCTACTTCCTGCAAAAATGAGGCCTGGAGCCAACTTATTTTTGTGTTCAATCACAGCATGGCCTGGCTCCATTTTGAGTATTGTGGTTTCACTGTTGACTTGAGGCACATTCTTCCATCAGTGCTGCGAGTGATTCGTTTGATATATGAAACAGTTCAAAAGAAAATATCAGCCAGAATTGGAGCCACCCCATTTTTGCACTGGACCCTTCAGTTGTTCCATCCACATTTGTTAGTCTGTTTCAAATTATTGTGCTGATAGGAAGTCTTGCTTACTGGACAGTTTAATAAAAACTGATATTAATGCCTCAACCATTTGGTAGTAATGGAATAGTGTATGAGGTTAATTGAGCCCATCAATGTAAAATGAAACATCTTTGTTGTTTCTGATTTTGGCTGCTGATTACTTTCCTAAGTAAGAAATATAATATCGAATAGAGACTTATGTTTACTTTGTGTGATAGCTGTCTGAAGGTGGCTTCAGTTATTTCAGTTGGTAAAAAATCATAGTCATGCTATGGAAAGCATTACAAATGTATTAGGAAGACTTTTGTGGTTTTGTAGCATATGTCATAAGTTCCTGCACTAACAGCAGTGTCGTTTGTGTTCTGTGATCATGAGGAAGTTTTTTTTTTACAAATAGTAGAAAGTGACCTTAGATAACTTGGGGTATTGATCATTATAGTTATATAGACAGCACTGTGTAGAATACAATTAAATATGTATTGTCGAACTCTTATCAGTAATATCATTGTTGTGAGAAGCTGATTTTTGTTACAAGTGGATGCCTTCTGAAATACATCATCAGAGAGACCATTTACATAAATCTGTGTGTTGTTTTTCCTTACTCGGAATGTGACTGGACTTTACAATGTGGGGCCTATTTAACATTGAGACATTGAAGCTAATTTTTTGTTGTTGTTACATTAATTTCAGTCTCCCAAAATTGTTCCACTTCTGCGGGATTCACAGCAGTTTGCATGGCACCTTGTAGATGCAGTGGCATATGAGCAAGTCGTCAATTGGTTTGTCATGAGCTGTGATCCCAGGGTCATTCTAGGGTCTGATGATTCTTCTGAAGCAGATAATTCAGAGAAAAAAAATGGAATAAGCCAAATTGACTGTGCTGTTGTATGGTAAGTTATGTTAATTTCAGTGGATTATTTAACTGGCTATAACACAACTTAAAATATAAGAAAACTCCCACTTTTCAGTGGAAATGAACCTGACATTTTGAATTCCTAATCTTGTGTGCATGTTCTGTTGGTTAGGTTATTTGAAAGAGTATCAGTAACATTTTATAACAAGCTGGTTTGTATGGTGATTAGTTGTTAGCATCCCGCCCAACCCCCAAGCTGGAGAACAATTGCATGTATGTACCTCCATATCTGGAGGCCAGCTGCACCATTCACAACATTTAACATTTGCAGTATGTAAGAAAAATTGAATGAATTTGCATGTCTAGAGTCTGCAGTTTTGACATGATATGCATTGTTAAACTTTGGTTTAGCAGGTACATTGAGTGTTATAAATGCCTTGAAGTAGGGTTTTTAAAATGAATAACATCAGTTATATGTCAATTTTCAGTTCAACCACTTGTACCATATACTCTACCTTAACATAAGTTTTTAAAAATCAAAACAAAATAAAGGATCATTGCAAATCTACAAATTAGGTGTAATTTTGCATCTGTGGTATGCTCCAAAATTTCGGTATGCAATAGATTATTAGTTTGAATATACCAGGTGATTCAAAAAGGACTTTACAACTTTGAAAGTATATAGAAATTTATTCAGAAGGCTTACAGAATCAGTTGAGGTGTCATTTTGTAGCAAAACAAATCAAGTTTGACTCACGTTGTGCTGTAGTACCGAATTCCGTCACTGCGAGCGCAAGCGGCAGTGCATTTGAAAATGGCTCGAAAATGTTCTCATACCACAGTTAGACGAAGATGACCAAAAAGGACGCATTCACTTCCAGCAAGATGGCGCACCACCTCACTACCTCACAGAAGTCCGGGATTTCCTCAATAACGCAGTTGCAGAAGTGACACCGGATATGCTGGATTGTGTTTGGCAAGAAATTGATTTCAGGTGGGATGTCTGCAGTATCACCAATGGCAATCACATTGAACCAAAATGACTGTTTGAGGTAAAACTTGATTTGTTTTGCTACAAAATAACACCTCAACCGATTCTGTAAGCCTTCTGAATAAATTTCTATACAGTTTCAAAGTTGTAAAGTCCTTTTTGAATCACCCTATATTTCTAAAGTATACGTATGCTTCAGGCTTTGTCTTTGATTAAGTAACATCAAAGCTGTTGGACATGTGAATGCATTGTATAGTAAGGACCAGAGCACTTGCGTGTTCTTAGTGCGGGGGTGAAGAGCAAGGTGATAAGCACTGCGTGCGCACCTCCAAGTTTTTTCTATCCGTTCTACCCGGCCGTTCCATGCACCGACCAGGCCGTGCCGAATGCAACTATCCACAGCACTAGGGAGCTCAGCTAGCAAGTAATCTGGTCCCTACTGTATATGTAATGCAATGCATATGTATGAAGAGCAGAGCCACATCTCCAAAACATACAGAGTGGTGCACAAAATGTTTACCCATTTAAATCCTGTTTTGGTCCCAGAGTGATTTCTCATCATCTTCCTGGATGCCATGATTGTGGACAGGTCTGACCACCCCACAGCCCAGACATTAATCCATGTGGTTTCTTTCTGTGGGGCTTCATGAAGCACAAACTGTACTCAAGGAAACCTGATTCATTAATTTAACTCAGAGCCATGATTATCCAGCCGTGCTACACAGTTTCAGAAGACTTGTGCTATAAGGTGATCACAAACATAGAAGTTCATCTATAAGAAGTGATGAGGCAGAATGGGAGTCATATTGAACATGTTCTGTACTAAAAGCAACTTTCCATGGTTATATCCTTTGGCGTGTATGTGATATGCAGCACTTTTGTAAGAAATATAGATTTTGTGCAGGATTTAAAATGGTAAATATTTTGTACACCGCGCTGTAGAACTTTGATGATTGTTATGGGGTCTTTGTATTAAGTGCATGGTGAGAACGCATTATGGGCCGGTCATGTCTGTCTGTCCATTTTATTAAACTCAAGAACCACTAGACAGATTTGAATGAAAATTGATGTGGAGGTTGTGCTTCTGCATGACCCCAAAATCATACCTTTATATGTCCTACAAATGGTGATAACAAAATGAAGGATGCGTAAAGTTGTGAGGTAGACATTAAGGTACTGTGATCTGATGGCAAAAATGGGAACTATTAAACAAGGTGGATTTAATACCTTTAAATGAATGTTGCAAAGAACACATGAGGATATTATGTGTATTTCATCACAGAATATACTTTCCAAGCTTGTTATGTATGTTTCTTCTCTCATGAATGCAAGGTCACACCCTAATTATGGATAAAAATATTTAAAAAAACTTGTATTATGGTGGGCATGTTATTTTTACTAAATGAATTACACACATCCTGGCTGCAGTGATGTCAATATCAAATGTTTGAATTTCTGTATATATTTCTCTGTGCAGTTAAATTCTTGATCAAGGCTAAGAACATAAGAAGGCTGGGTATGTGTTATTAAATAGTGTATGTCATTATTGAGTTTTTATTCACATACATTTCAGTCAATAAAATTTATACAAAACTTTCCAAACTAACTAGAAACAACTTTCAAGAAGAATGGAAGACAACAGATTACAAAAACAAGTTATAGCATACATGTCTAGGAGGAAGAGAAGTTAAGATCATTGCAGAAGGGACTGCATGAAATAGTAACAGTCCACACAGCCTAGTACCTGGCAGGATGAGGATGATAATGAAAATTTACATTAGAGGTGATTAAACCTTGTTTACTTTGGACAGATACAAAAAATTAGTGCAGATATGGAAAGTATTTACACATCAGTATCTTACTTTGATAAAATATATGAGAGACTATTATTTTGTGTAATTTCTTGTAGGTAAAATGTTTGAGGTGTAGGTAAATTAAACAAAATTCAATTGTGCAGATATATCTACATAAGCACAGGAAGAATGTACATAATTTCAATTTGGTTTAGAGGGGGGACAAAGTATTTGTTTCTGTGGTCACAGTACGGAAGTATTCTTTCATAGTTCTGTTTTTCACATGACAAGTGTGGGTAATGTCAGTTTTTGGAACAGGCGGATATAAATTGCATGTACAGTCAAGCATATCTACTGCTGCATTATATGGGGTATGAATTTTGAGGTGAAGTTTACAAGTTTATTTGAAAGTAAACAGCTTCTTTAATGTGTTTTTGAAGAGGTCTTACAGAAGTTAGTAAAATTATAAAGTAAACTTAAGTATTAAGTATAACATAATAAATGGCAAGGAGGATAAATTAGGTGGAGCATGAAAGACATGAAAAGATCTAGATATAGATGGAAGGATAATGTTAAAATGGTTGTTAGAGGCAACAGGTGCAAGGTGTGGACTGAATTCATGGTACTATGGTTAGGGACCAATTGCAGGCTGTTATGTACATGGCAGCAGACCTTCAGGTTCCATAAAAGGTAATTTCTTGACTTCCTGAACAATAATTAGCTTCTGAATGGTTTTGACAGTGGTATATTACAATAAGTACAAACTTAAAATTATTCAATGTCAGGACATTTTCCATCGTGCGTTCTTTAAAACCACGACGTTTCGGAGGCTGGTTGTTTTAAAGAACAGACGATGCAAAAAGGGACAATGAATAATTTTAAGTCAAAACCCTTTAGAATTGAGTAAGTACAAAGCCAATAATACTATTAGCTTCTCAAGGAAGAAGTTACTATAAAGATACTAAAAGTGTATGACTACTGGTAGTGGTAGTGGTAATGTTTTTTGTCAAAAACTTTAGGGTGAGGAATCAGTTCTTTGTATGATTATGTTGCCATAATTTCAAGGTGTGTATTAGAAAATGATTTTGTTAAATATGTGTTTGCAGGCTTCTTCAGGTTGCAGGTGCACACGTGCCTCATGTAACGCGTTTCCACCCATCAACACCACGTAAGAGACAAATGTTTGTACGTGCTTGTGTCAAGTTGCTGATATCATGTGCAAGTCGCTACAAGGTTCTGCTCAGCAAGCGGGAACTTGCGTTTAGAGTAGCAATTCAGAAGCTGCTGAATGATGCTGAAGCTGCTGTGCTTGCAAGTATGTGTTTGTTCTCTTAGCAACGCTTGTATTACTTCATGTTAAAATCCTTTACTTTCCATAATGAATTACTTGCTTTCATACCACTGAGAATTAATGCATACTCTAATTTTCCCTGTAAAGGTAAACATCGATTTGCACTGCTTCAATTTTGCGCCCATTCAGAATAACGCTGCTTTTGAAACCAGCAAGTCAAAAAGTGAATAAAATTTATTTTACTATTATTTATAACATTTAACAATGTTTCTTGTACTGATTCTTATACTAAATCGTAATTATTACATCGCTGATTTTGAATAAATATTATAAATACAGTCACCTCTGCACTCATTGCTAAGTAGTTGCGAGATAATCTCCTAAAAATCCGCCAACATTGCGCGACAGTCACGTGAGCATTGGTCACTCTTCATGGTGAGTCATTTGCGTTCAGCCTGATAAGGGAATAAGGAAAAATGCGCTCAGTTTGCTTCTTCTTGACACATTGGATGTGCTGAAAACTGTGTGCTAAACGTGTTTGTGTTGTTATCGACCACTATTCTGCAGTAGCAACTGTTTTATATTTATAAATTGTAGAAGAGCCACCATGTCTGGTAAGAGAAGTGAATGTGTTGCTAAAAAGTTGCGTAGGTCTATTACGTTAGAAGATAAGATGGACGTAATTCATAGAATAGAAGGTGGTGATACCCGTCGTAATGTGTGCAGAAGTATGGAGTTGCCTCCTTCCACTGTGACTACCATAATGAAAAATTCATGTAAAATAAAACAGTCGATGCAACAGGCTACGAGAGTAAGTACAACGCAAGTGAGTTATAGCAGAAGTAAACTTTTATAAAGAATGGAGAAATTACTATTGCTATGGTTGGATGACATGAATCGAAAAAACATTCCGTTGACTGAAATTGCTATCACGGATAAGGCAAAGTCAGTTTTTGAGGATCTTAAGTCGTCAATGTTTGGGAGCCGGGAACGCATGTCATTGACTTCCCATTGATTTACATTATAAAAAGAGTTTCAATTTACACCGGTTCGTCCAGGAACGCATCCCCGGCGTAAATCGAGGTTTACCTGTATATATTCACTTTAAATTTATATTTAAATAAAAAGTTCTTTGTATATTTTCCATCGTCTAATAAAATTGAACGACACTTCAGAGATGGGGCTATATCTCCATCTCTGAAACGTCGTTCAATTTTATTAGACGATGGAAAATATCCATAGAACTTTTTATTTAAATAACTCACCATCATCACAAACTTTTAGATTTGATATAAATTTATATTGTTTCATTGTGATTGATGGATACAGAAATATAGAGTGATAATAACAATACTTTTATAAATGTGTTGAAGGGTAACAGTTTTCTCTTTTCACAAATTTTCTGAATACAAATAAGCTATAGGTTTTGAAATTTAAGGAAAAATGCACATTGTCACTTTGCACTGGTGTACATAAAACGGCTTCACCCTGTGTGAATGGATTTGTTGAAATTACATTTTTGTAAATGTTTCAAAGGAACTTTCATGAGTCTATGGGCCTGCCACTAAAGTACTTGTGTACTGACATCCTCTTATATGGATCATCTGTGCCACTGACTTCTGATATGAGTGCTTTGTCATTGGTAATTGCATTCATACTAATGAAGTGTAAGCACCATCAGTGCAAACTAGTCCTACAGCAGGCTACAGGGTGTGGAATTAAATACCCGCACACAGAGGTTAAAAAAAGTTTGCCAACACTTCTTAACACTTCAGTAATTAGAGTAATGAGAGAAGGGATTCAAGAGGATCAAGATTTCTGTAAAATACCTAACTTTTGTTTTTATAGTCTTGTTATTTCTTGTTCCTCATATAGTTTCAGAATTGCTGTACTTGTGTGTTTGCTACATGTTTTCAGGTACCCCATCAACACAGCATGTGGGGGAGGTAGGTCTGCTGCTCACTGAAATCTTGGTGGCTGTGAACCAACCCACTGGCAACCAAATTGCACAGCTCACTGTAGACTGCTGTGTCCATTGGCTAGCAGCAAGAGACTGCTCAAGTGTTGTACTGCAAGCTTTCCTACAGGTAGTTGGCACTACTGTTATGTCATCTGAAGCCCTTGGAGCCATCCTTGAGGCAGCATTGCAAGCATTCTTCAAACAAACAAGTAGGTTTCTTTGTTGATTTTGGGTTACTCCCCACAAGCACCTACATGGCACATAGTGGGACAGAGCTTTACTTTACTTAGATAGTCCATACACAATCATGTTGTCTTTGTTGAAAAAGTCTCATATTTCCATCTGAATAATGGTACTACTGTATTGCTGTTTTTGTTTGGAATCTTTAAATACTTTATTAAGCTTACTTTTAAATGGTGGAATACTGACTGAATCTTCACTAGAGACTTATAACAGTTTGCCATGATGTTTCTTAAATCTTATTAACCAACTTGCACTTGCCATATAAGTATAGTGGGGACAGTTGATTGGCAAATCATTTTACACTGCTTGAATTGTAACTTTCCTAACAGGAACACCTAAAGCTCATTGTTACTTGTGCTACTCATATACAGCTTCATCTATATCCACAGTTTTCACAGCATTATCTCATTTGCTTTTTGTCACTCCCACTATCTTTAATAATAAGCTTGAGATATCACTTTGGACTTTATGAAATGTAGATTTGTTTCCATATTCTGTCCTCGTACTTTGCATGGTACATCCCAAATCCTGTTTTGTCTTCCAAAATTAATGATTTGTAACTTCCCATTTCATTCTAATTGGTCATTCAATAAATGATTATTAAAATATCATGAAGTGACAGGACAGTAGACAATGAATAAACTTGCATGACCATATTATCATGGGAAATCAAAATACATACTGAAGAGCAGCTTGGGACAGGCTTTTCCCTTTGACATCAAACAACAGCTTGCTTAGCTTGGTGTTAGCTGTTAGCATGAGAGTCTCACTTTAAAAATACAGGAACAGTAATACTGATGTAGGATTTGAGGTTTTCACAGTGGTGAGTCTGAAGATTGCTGTCTTCTGGGTTGTTGTGCTGTGTAGTCTGGTAGATGTCCACTAACGTTTCAAAGGTCCATGCTGCCTCCATCATCTCCTTATTTAATCTGTTTGCTGAGTCTGCTGAATGCATAGCAGTTGTTTTATTTGGATTTGTGTGTTTGGTAAGGCATGATGGCAACACAAAAGAAAATAAAAACCATTTCGTAAATAAGAAACTTCTGCTGAAACAACCAGGATTATCAGTATGAACTCTAAATACAATTATTGTCAAAAACTATCATGTCAATGAAGAAAATGTAAATCAGTATGGAAGATTTGTCCAGCACTTTCAATAGTGTTGAACATATGATTTTAACTTTCAGCATGATGCTGCATATTTTTAGTTTGAGGGAATTATATCTTGTAAATGTAAGTCCTAGAAATAAAATATTAATTTTATTCTTTTCCACATTGATAAGTATACCTTAAACAGTAAATCAAAACATGAAAGAGAGACAAAGAAATTCATATTTCTTTTTTCCACATATAAAGTTTTCATCTCCAGATGTTTCTAACAGCACATTCCTTAAAAATGTTTTAAGTGACTTTTGCTGCATGTCATCAAAAGACATGATGTTATTATTAGTTGAAATAGATTGAAAACTGTAGATAAAATCACATACATCTACATCTTTTTAAGGAACCTTACATATCAGCATTAAAACCAGTCACTATGTTAATGTCATATTAAATTCATTAAACTGTTCTTGTTGTGCATCAGTGAAGATACATAGCTAAGTGTTCCATCATAATTCCACAAGTAATTGGTTATTGCACGGTCAGTCACCATCTTCCAATCTTCCATTCAAATTGATTTCAGGGACTCCTTTTCCAGGTATAAAGTAAGCCAAAGTATGAAACTGACCACTTATTTCTCCCTAGTGCATTGGTTCTCAACCATTTTTGAACTGTTGCCCTATTTTTATAGTTATTTAAATCTGCTACTCTATGCATAAGAAAATGGCAAGTTCTTCAAACTTGTGAGAATTTGTTCATATATTTACAAAAAACAATACAAAGTAAAGTTATGTGGCTAGACATAATATCCATATTCTGCTTATTCATAACAAGGCTTTGAAAGTACAACAATATACAAAATGGAAAACTCACCTGGGAGGCCCTGCTGAATGGGAATGTTGCATTTGTTTTGCTTCTGCCAATTTCTTGATCTTAGAGCTAAGATGAAACAAGACTGTATTGAAGATTATCTTTCATACTGAATCTGCTTCCATGTTTAGTTTTAATTTGAAACAGACGACTAATATTAATATTTCTTATATCCCATTGTTTTCAGTTGACAATTTCCCTATATTTGTAGGGGTATTTATAAACTGTATGCAACATTTAATGTCCACAGTTCAAATACTCCAGTAGTTATCACTGTCAAATTGAAAGTTAAATGAAACTTTTGCATAGTTGCTATGTTGTCATTTTACATTCTTAAAAAATACCTTAATAAAAGTTACATTTTTCAAATATCTTTCACCATATTTCATTTCAGGGCCTTATGTTAAGTAATGCTAATTTTGCTCCAACCTCACATGTTGTTATTACTGAATATAGATAGTACATTTAATTTAGGTGGCCTCCAGTGGCATAACGTCCATACCATATTTTGTGAAAATCAGTCAGTGTTTCAAAAGTTGAAAGAGGATGCTCATGCCTGGGTTCTGTAATAATTTAAGCGTTAATTTGCTATGTCTGTTCAGAAGACAGAATTTGAAATGTTATAAATTCTCCCAAGAACATTTCTGAGTGAAATTCACATGATTGTTTTGTAGTTTCGACAGGATCAACTCCGGAATGGCAAACGGCAGTAGCACTCTTGCAGCTGTGTGTGCCACAACAGTCCCCACTAGAGGAGTGTTTGCTGACCAATGGTCACCTTTTGAGCCTGTACGCTTTACTACTTAAACGACTACCCACCTGCAGGGATATACGTGAGGAGGCCAGTGTTCTCTGCAATCTAGTGGACTGGATTATGAACATAAAGCCAGTGTAAGTTAAGTGTTTTTTTTAACTTGTCTGTAACATGAATTTAGCACATTATAATCTTTCATTCTTCAGTAGTTCTTAACTATTCCTGAGTGGAAACAGGATATATCTGAAGCTGGTGAGTACCCCATATGTCGACAGCAAATATATCTGAATGTACCAATATCTCCACCATAAGAAGTTATTGTAAGTTGCTTGTTCAGAGGAAGTCTTTGTGATAACCAGAGAATGAAACAGGCATGATTTATGTAACATGAGAACAGCTGAAAAGTCGAGCATTCTTTTTTGAGAATCTAATAATTGTTGAGCTCATTAATAAATTCCTCAGCTTTCATGTAACCCAAAGTTTCATTACCATGTCCATTAGCCTTTGTTCTGAACTGTATGAATCAAGTCCACATCATAGGACCATATGTCTTTACAATCCATTTTAATATATGCCTAGACCTCTATGTTCCAATTGGTTTATTTGTAAGCTTTATAAACTTGTTTTAATAAAGTATAGAGATATTTAAATTGTGTCCCAAAGAACATATAAAAGAGGGCTAAACATGTCATGTACTAATAAACTGTCAGTTCATACAATTTGTTCTTGAACTCCATGATAAATTCACTTCAAAATTTGATCTAGATGGTGAAAGTGAAAATACAAAGTCAGTGGTAGGTGAGAAGGGCGGGTGGTCTTGTTGAAGTGATTACATCTCATGCCAGAGCATGAAGAAGAAAAATAACTACATATAAAAGTGTATGAAAATGGATGCCATAATACAAACAAGAATATGGAGACCTTTCTGATAATGGGAGAGACATGATCCTAGCTATGTGGCCAGTGTTCTGT